ATTGAAATTTATGTCAAAAATGAAATTTATATTCAATGAATTTTATGAAAATAAAAAGTGAAAATTTAATTTTGTCAAAGTGAAAATGAGAGTGAAAATAAAGTTGATAATAAACTATCAAAGTGAAAATTAAAGGGAAAGGTGAAAACTTTACTAATCTTTTTCTTGGTTTGGAAATGTTATAAATTTTGCAATAATCTTTTAAACAAATGCAAAATTTATTATTTTTTAACAATTAAATAGAAGAAAAGTCTGTTTTAGACTAAAAAACGTTTTTTTATTTTTATATTAATACAAAAATAAAAAAAACGTTTTTTATAGTCCCCTGGTAATCCGCGCACAAAAATTATTTGACACAGTACGCAAAGCTTATAATAAACCGAATAAGAAAAAAAAGCGTAAAAAAAAATTTGAATAAAAAAAAATAAAAAAAAGTGCTTTGTTAAAAAATGTTTCGTTGAAAAACCAGAACATGTAAGTAATTAATTTATCAAGAACAAAAGGTAATTCTAAGTGACTAGATTAGAATATTATAGCAAACGACCTGTACAAACAGGCACAAGAAGGTAATTTACGTTAAATACCCTAAGCAGCCCGTCTGTGTCGCCAATAGGATTAGGAGACTAATACAAAATATAATAGACTACTGTGAATCTACTATAACATATAATAAAAACTTTCCCTCTTGCCTTTGACAAAAAAAGGCCGACTTTTACTTTTTCTCTTCTCATCATCACTTTCGATCAAATTTTCCCGGTTATCAATTTTCCATTAATTTACATTCATTTAAATCACTTCATTTTTCTCCGATTTTCGCTCTTTTACGTGCGGTGGTTAATTTCTCTTTTTTTAATTAATGTTTTTATATTTTTAACATAATGTTAAATTATGTTCATTTAATGTTTTTATTTTATTTATTTATTTATTTTTTTTAATAAAACTATAAAAATGTTAAATTTTCAATCTTTTTCGACTCATAAGAAATAAAAATAAATAGGTATAATTATAATAAATAACAAAATAAGTAAAAAAAAAAAAAAAAAAATTGGACTTTTTTGGGTAAAAAGAGTGAAAGTGAGAGAGAGAGAGAGAGAGAGAGAGAGAGAGAGAGAGAGAGAGAGAGAGAGAGAGAGAGAGAGAGAGAGAGAGAGAGAGAGAGAGAGAGAGAGAGAGAGAGAGAGAGAGAGAGAGAGAGAGAGAGAGAGAGAGAGAGAGAGAGAGAGAGAGAGAGAGAGAGAGAGAGAGAGAGAGAGAGAGAGAGAGAGAGAGAGAGAGAGAGAGAGAGAGAGAGAAAGGGTCTATTGAATAAATGATATATCTGTCAGAAGTTTTATCGAAAGTTTAATCGAGCGGGGATTTTTGTTATCAATGGGGGATATCGCACTTTGCGTGGCATGGCACGCGAGCGAGAAGAATGAGAAACTTAATTTGTTAATCAACCGTTGATTCAGATGCACCTTTCGGCCTGTCGACAGAATCGCCCTCCACCCCCGGTTTATGTACAGACTCCTCTTCAGTGATGGGACACACATTCGTCTGCAGCTGAGCCAAACAATGTCCTTTCACATGAAGCTTTTACAGCCCTATCAAACCCACTGAATGTCCCTATATTGTACTTTTACTATCATCAACCCATATTTTGCACTCAAGCTCACTTTTTTTTCTTACTACTTATATTTTTATATTGTTTATTTATTTTCTCCATTTTTTTTTCTTATAATACTTATCAGCCTCTATATAATGTTAAATAAAAAAAATTAAATAAAATTTAAATACATATTTATATAGTTTTTAATTTTTTCAACTACTTATATATTATTATAAATTTCTTATTATAAAAAAGTAAAAACTAAAATTTTTAAAAAATTTTCTACTGTTTTCTATAATCACAATAATTTTTCTAAAATTCTTAAAGTGCGAGTCCATCAAGAAGTTTCATCGCAACAATTTTTATATAGAAATTTACAATTTTTATCAAAGAAACAGTAGATTATGAAAAAAATATACACAACATGAATAAGGTCAAATTAAAAAAAAAGTAAAAAATAGTGTAAAATAGTGTCAAAATAAATCGCATGTCTCAAAAAATTAAAAAATTTGGTGAATGTAATCGGTAAAATAGAAAAAAATCTCAAATTTGGTCAATGAAACAGATTACATTTAACAAATCTTCAAAATGTATGTGATTGAACATTGAAAATTTTAAGCTCTATAATAATGAGTCAAAAACGATTAATAATTAAAAAAATTTTATAAATAACTATAAAATAATTTTTATAAATATAATTAAGCGATATAATATGATTTGATAAACTAAATTTTTATAAAAATTAAAATTTTACTTCTCTATAATAGCGTTAAATTTTTAGTTTAAAATTGAAAAAATTGCAAATGAATAAATAAAAAAATGTTTAATATTGTAAGTTTAAAATATTTAAACCTTTTTAAAAACATAAAATTTCCCAAATGAACGTTTTTAATGTAAATTATTTTAATTTAACATTAAAAGCGTATATTAAATTTATAAACACTAAATTCTTATTAAACCTTTAAATATTTAAATTTTAAGGTTAAAACATTTGGATCTTGTTAAATTTTAAAGAGTTCACTTCTAAAAAGTGATAAAAAATATTAAACTTCTTCAGTTTGAAATTAAAAAACTTATAGTTAACGTAAAATGTTCAAAATTTCATAAGTGAGTCACAAGTAAAAAAAAAAAAAATTTTTAAATATTTAAAACATTTAAAATTTTAAAAATACTACAAATTTTTGTAAACATTCAAAATTGCAAAATTTTAAATTCAAATCTTCTTAAATTTTTAAACTTTATAGTGAAAAGTGCGTGTTCATTTCAAATATTTTGTTCAAGTTAAAATTATATTCAGTTGAAATTAATTAAAATGCAAAAATCAAAGAGCAATTCAAGTTTTAAAACCTTAATAATTTTTACAAACTTTTAAACTTAAAAATTGCATTCCTTAAAATTTGAAATTCATGTTAGTTCAAACTTTTAAAGTATTGCAAACTTTAAAACTGTAAAATTTAAAAAATTAAAAAAAAAATTTTTTTTTTAAATTTTCTTTTTAAACTTTTTAATTTTTATTGTGTTAAAATTGCTTTCAATTTAAATATTTTACTTTCGAAAATTTGCATTTTCATTCTGAAAATACATAGAATTTTTACAAACTTTAAAAGTTTTAAAACCTTTTAATTTTTAGAATGAGAAAATTGCTTTCAATTTAAATATTTCACTTTCGAAAATTTGCATTTTAATTTTGAAAATACATAGAATTTTTACAAAATTAAAAACTTTTTAAGTTTTTAACTTTTAAAGTGAAAAGTCGCTTTAATTTAAATATTTCAATTTAGAAATTTTGTATATCTTTAAATATTTGTAATTCAAGTCATTATACAATTAAAAAGCCAATTTTAAATTTGAAAATGCGTTGAATTTTTACAGACCTTAAAACTTTAAAATCTAAAATTTTGTAAGTTTTTAACTTTTAAAGTAAAAAGTGTTTTTAATAGAAATATTTTAATTCAAAAATTTTGCATTCTTTAAAATTTATAATTCACGTTATTATTCAGTTTAACAGAGCGAATTTAAAAAATTTTGAAAACACGTTTAATTTTTATAAACTTTAAAACATTGAAATCTAAAATTTTTTATGTTCTTCACTTTTTTAAAGTAAAAAAATGTGTTTTTAATTGAAATATTTCTATTTAAAAATTTTGCATTCTTAAAAATTTGTAATTTAAGTCATTATACAATTAAACAGCCTATTTTAAATTTGAAAACGTGTTGAATTTTTGCAAACTTTAAAACTTTGGAATTTAAAAATTTTTAAGTTTTTAACAGTTTAACTACCTATTTTAGATTTGAAAACACGTTATATTTTTACAAATTTTAAAACTTTGAAATTTTTTTTAGTTTTTTAACTTTTAAAATGTTTTTACATTTTAAAAGTTAAAAAGTTAAAAAATTAAAAAAATTTCAGTTTTTAATTTTAAATTTTTTAATTAATTAATTAATAAATATAATTTTTTAATTTCAATGTTTTTAATTTAACTATTTCAAGTTAAAAATTTTGCATATTTTTCAAAATTTAGAAAATTCAAGTCAGTTGCGAATTGAACATACTTTTCATTTGAAAAATTTTAAATTATACGTAAAGTTTACAAAAATTTAGTGTTTTCATTTTAAAATGCTTTTAAATGGAAAAAACTGAATTTTTTTCAAACTATAGCTTTAAATTTTCATGCTTTCTAAATAAAAAAATTTTTAAATGAAAAGTACGTTCAATTTAAATTGTTTATTTTAAAAAAATTTACATAGTAAACATTTTTAGTAAACATTTGAAATTCTAGTGAGTTAAAATTTTGAAGGTTCATTAGTTTGAAATTTTTAATTTTTCACTTCCTGCAATTCTTTCGAATATAAAAATTTTAAAGTTTTAATTTAAAATTTAAAGATAAAAATTTAAATTTAAAGATAAAATTTTAAATTTAAAGATAAAATTTAAAAGGAAAGAACTTAAGAAAATTTAAATTATGACAAATTAAAAAAAAAATACTAAATAAGTTTTAATAATTAAACAAAAAAAAAATTTATAAAAAAGTTTATAAAAAAATTTTTAAAAAAATAAAAAATTTATTTTTTGTCACATGCAATTAATGTATCAATAAGAATGTTTATGTAAGTTAAAAAAAGTATCCACCTTGCAATGTCTCCTTTTCTCTCTCTCCCCATCTTTATCTCTCTCTTTCGCCCCTCGGTGTCTCGTTGCCCCTTTCAACCTTATATATTTGGGGTTAGAAATTATAAACCAAAGAACGTCAAACGAATCCCCCCAATGGCTTTCTAAATACAATTACGCATTTTACTTGAATGAGAGAAGAAGTGGGACCTGGAGTCGACCAATCACCGTTCAACCGGCCAAAAAAATGGGGAAGGGGATCACCAAAATTTAGACATCCCTTCAAACCATCCCATTATTGCCCACACCTCCTTAATATATAAACCCACGTGTAATGTTAAATACTCATCAGTCTCATTTCTGAAGTCAACCTCAAAATTTTTATAAAAAAACTAATCTTATTCATTTATTAATTTATTTATTTACATATATTTATCATTAGCATTAAAATTGTGAAATGGAAATTATTATTAATTTGTGAAGGAAAAGTGCCTCGATTTTAATTGGATTTTCTTCAATGTGTGTATATATGTGTGTGATTTGTTATTCTTAAGTGAAAAAAATTTTTATACCGAAAAAAAAAATTTTTTAATAAAATTTTTTTTTTTCGCTAAAAAAGGAAAATTTAAAAAATTCGATTTTATAAAAATCGAAAACCCAAATTTTCTAATTTTGGGGGGAAGAAGAAAATTTTTTTTCCTTTTCATTTTGATAAGGCAAAAATTTTGCCGCGAAAATAAACAGCTTTCATATGTTGGACACAATGATTAGTGGCAATGCTTTTCCATTGGCAGCGGAAAACGCAATGGTGGCAAAATTTCCGCGTGTCGAAGATGAGGAATATTCAGGGCACATTGGACGACCGTACGTTAAAGCGGCTACTGAATTGAAATCAAATTCGGCCACTGAAGTCATTGACATTGACAGTTTGGCGAACAATGTTAATCCATTATACGAAAGGGTATGCAAAATGATAATAAATATGGAAAAGAAAATAAACAGACGAATTAGTTTCTCTTTTCAAAATTATTAAATATATGTGAATTTAAAATTTTCAATTTAAAATATTATAAATTTTCAAAATTTAAAGTTTTCAAATTATAAATTTTCAAATTATAAATTTTCAAAATTTTTTATTTTGAAATAATAAATTTCTAAAATTTTCGATTTTTAATTTTGAAATTATAAATTTTCAAAATTTTCAATTTTTAATTTTGAAATTATAAATTTTTAATTTTCAAGTTATAAATTTTCACTTTCTGCGCTTAAAAACTAAAATAAAAAAAAATAATATAAACTTCTTAAAATTTCAAAAGTTTCTGATGAAATTTTTTAAGAAACAAGGTTCTTAAATTTTGAGCTTCTTTCTTCAGTTTCAACTCAATTTTCTTAAATTTTTTAAGTTTCTGATAAAATTTCTTATACATTTCTGCTTGATTTAATATTAATAATTATGAATTGAAGTTCTTTAAATTTATGTTTTAAATTTGAAAGTAGAAAAGCTCTCAAAATTCGAAAGTTTAAATTTTTTATAAACTTGAAAACTTTGATTATATTTAAAATAAAAGAAAATTTATTGAAACATTTTTCATGTGCCAAATTTTGAAAAATTTTCGCAAAATTAGGTTTTAAATTTACAATTTTTAAGAGCTTTAAATTAAAAATTTAAAAGCTCTCCATTCTTCAAATTTAAAACTTGAATTTGAAAATTGAAACAAAAAATTTTTGAATTTTAAATCTAAAAAATTAAAAGCTTTTAAACCCGATGTATTTTAATGCTTCAAATTTCATATATATTTTAAAATTTTTTGAAATTTGAATGGTTTTTTATTTAATATTAAAACTCCATTAAATTTTTATTTTAAAGAAAACTTTCTAAAATTCAAAATTCTTCCTTATTTTGAATGTTAAAAATTTTAGAATACTAAAAACTTTATGAGGTTTTTAAAATTTTTCTAATTAAATAATGTATTTTCAAAAATTTAAATGCTTGATTCAAATTAAAAAATAATTTCATATCGAATATTTCAAATTTGGAACAGAAACAATTGAGAATAAGCTTCTTAAATTTTTTAGTTTTTTTTCAAAATTAAGCATTTTAAATGACATGAAAAAATCTAAAATATTAACGCCTTTTAATTTGAAGTTTTTAAAATTTTAGTAAATTCTAGTTTTACGTTTTTAAGATTTTAGTAAATTTTACTTTGAAGTTCTTAAAATTTTAGTATAAATTTTAATTTGAAGTTTATAAAATTTGAGTAAATTTCAGTTTAAAATTAATAAAATTTTAGTAAATTTTACTTTGAAGTTTTTAAAAGTTCAACAAATTTTACTTTGAAGTTTATAAAATTTTTGTAAATTTTAATTTGAAGTTTATAAAATCTTAGTATATTTTACATTGAAGTTTTTAAAATTTTAACAAATTTTACTTTGAAGTTTATAAAATTTTTGTAAATTTTAGTTTGAAGTTTATAAAATTTTAGTAAATTTTACATTGAAGTTTTTAAAATTTTAACAAATTTTACTTTGAAGTTTATAAAATTTTTGTAAATTTTAATTTGAAGTTTATAAAATTTTAGTAAATTTTACTTTGAAGTTTTTAAAATTTTAACAAATTTTACTTTGAAGTTTATAAAATTTTAGTAAATTTTACTTTAAAGTTTTTAAAATTTCAACAAATTTTACTTTGAAGTTTATCAAGTGAGTAGCTGCATGCAACAACTCGCCAAGCGCTCGGCTGAACATTCAGCGCTCAGCGAGTTTTTGCATGCAGCTACTCAAATGGTAAATTTTACTTTGAAGTTTTTAAAATTTTAACAAATTTTACTTTGAAGTTTATAAAAATTCAGCAAATTTTATTTTGAAGTTTTTAAAATAAATTGTAGTAAATTTTACTTTGAAGTTTTTTAAATTTTAGTGAATTTTACTTTGAAGTTTATAAAATTTTTGTAAATTTTAATTGGAAGTTTTTAAAATTTTAACAAATTTTACTTTGAAGTTTATAAAATTTTAGTAAATTTTACTTGGAAGTTTTTAAAATTTCAACAAATTTTACTTTGAAGTTCTTAAGATTTTAGTAAATTTTACTTTGAAGTTTTTTAAATTTTAGTGAATTTTACTTTGAAGTTTATAAAGTTTTTGTAAATTTTAATTTGAAGTTTATAAAATTTTAGTAAATTTTAATTTGAAGTTTATAAAATTTTGGGAAATTTTACTTTGAAGTTTTTAAAATTTATTTGAAATTAAATTTTATTGAATTTTAATTGAAAATTTTTTAATTTCAGCAAATTTTATTTTGAAGTTTTTAAATAAATTTTAGTAAATTTTTACTTTGAAGTTTTTTAAATTTAGTGAATTTTACTTTGAAGTTTATAAAATTTTAGTGAATTTTAATTTGAAGTTTATAAAATTTTAGTAAATTTTACTTTGAAGTTTTTAAAATTTTAGTGAATTTTAATTTAAAATTTTTAAAATTTCAGCAAATTTTATTTTGAAGTTTTTAAATAAGTTTTAGTAAATTTTACTTTAAAGTTTTTAAATAAATTTTAGTAAATTTTAATGTAATGTTTTAAAAATTTTAACTTTAACCAATTAAATATTTTTATCAAGTTTGAAATTTTAAAGCGTATATTCATAAATTTAAAAAAATTTGAAATTTATTAACACTCAAATTAAAAAAAGTTTCTAATGAAAAATATTGTATATAATATTTTTAAAGTTTAATTTTAATTTAGAACATAAAAGATGTAACTTAACTTGACAAATTTTTTAACCAATTTTCAACATTCTTAAAAGCTATTTTAATGCGCTTAAATTTAAAAGAAACTAAAATTTAAAAATTTTCAATTTTTCAAGATAAAAAGATTTATTGTATTATTTGAAATTTACAGCAAAAGTTAATAATTTAATGTTTTTACTTTTCAAAAATTAAAATTTCTGACAAGAATTTTTGTTATTTCAGTTTTATTTTATTTATTTGTTATTTATTTATTTTATTATTTCGTTTTATTACGTCAGATGTTAATTTTAAATTTTTTACTAAAACTCACTTTCTGATGTTAATTTTAATGAATTTTTTACGGATGTAATGAAAATTGACAGGCTCATAAATTCTAAAGAGTCGTTTTTATCAGTTTTTTTTAGTTTTTACTCTAAAATTGATACTTAACTCTTTTTGTTTCATAATATTTTTAAAAATTTCAAAAAAATTTTAAGTAATTTTTTTTTAAAATTACGTTTCTAAATGGCTTGTTTTTCTATTTACAGATGTTGGAAGTATCAGTTAGAGAAGGAAGACTATATTGTTTAAACGATTTCGTCAACACTTCCTGCTGGTTAAAGATGGTACCATTGGCAAAAGATTGTCAAAGTCCGAATGTCATGCTAATGAATGCCGAGAAGGGCGTTGTATTAAAAACAATAAAAAATATTTATCCCGGCGAACCACTACTTATGTGGTTCACAGAAAATATTTTGGCAATGATGAACATTCCATTTCTGACGCCAAGAAATATTTTAGGTACGTTTCAAAATTTTTTTTAATATTTCCGAGAAATTTACAAAAAAATGTTATTTTATAAACTTTTCATTTAAAAGGTAGGTAACATTAAAAATACTTATATAATTTATATAATTTTCAAATTTTGAACCAATTAAATGACCATTTTGTCTTTCCAACAGGAAAAAATCGCTACACCTGTGAAATGTGTAATTTCGCCTTCGAATGTCCAAATCCATTAAAAATTCATCTCGCCCTAAAATGCAATCGTCTCGATTTAAGTTATTTATGGACAAAATTGGCAAAAGAATATAATACACCACAGAAAGCATCTCTAATATTAAATCCATTTGTTCCCATAATACCATTTAAATTTCAATTGTCCGGTGCACCACAAACGAATCTCGTCGAAATGTTTGCTTCATCAAGAACATCGCCAATTTTATCTGAGACAACGTCAAATAAAAATGGAAGTCTACACAGTTCGGCGTCATCGTCATCGCAAAGTTCGCCGGAATCGGTGATTAACGAAAGACGAACGACAAATTCAATGGACATTTCACATGTGAAGAAAAATTTAACAAATCATCATTCGGCCTTTAAGCCATACAACAATAAACCAGTTATTTATGGTGGTATGTCACAAATTGACGATTCATTAATAGGTCACTATCAAGTACCAACACCAACACCATCATCATTATCGCCTGGTGTGCATGCAGCTCAACTCGAAACAATATGTAGTAATTTGGGAAAATTAAAACAAGGACACAAATGTATTTACTGTGGGAAAATTTACTCGAGGAAATATGGTCTTAAAATTCACATCAGGTATGTTTTTATTATTATTAAATATTTTCTGACCCCGGATATTATGATTTTTTTCGACTTTTTTCGACTATTTTTAAAACATTCGACATTTTTTCGACTATTTACCAAATATTTGACTATTTTCAAAATATGCGACTTTTTTCGACTATTTTCTAAATATTCGACTTTTTTCGACTATTTCCAAAATATTTGACTTTTTTCCGACTATTTGCAAAATTTTCTAAAAATTCGTCTTTTTTTTCGACTACTTTCAAAATTTTGGACTTTTTTCGACTATTTTCTAAATATTTGACTTTTTTGAAAATATGCGATTTTTTTGGGTTAACCCCTTTTTTTTGACTATTTTCAAAATATTTCGACTTCTTCCGACTATTTTCAAAATTATACAACTTTTCTCGATTCATTTTTAAAAAATGCGTCTATTTTAAACTATTTTCAAAACATGCAACTTTTTTCGACTATTTTCTAAGTATTCGACTTTTCTCGACTATTTTCCAAATATTTGACTTTTTTCCGATTATTTTCAAAATTTTCTAAATATTCGTCTTTTTTTCGACTACTTTCAAAATTTTGGACTTTTTTCGACTATTTTCTAAATATTTGACTTTTTTGAAAATATGCGTTTTTTGGGGTATACCCTTTTTTGACTATTTTCAAAATAATCGACTATTTTCAAAATTTATGAATTTTTCGACTATTTTCAAAATTATACGACTTTTTTCGATTCATTTTAAATAAATGGGTCTTTTTTAAACTATTTTCAAAATATACGACTTTTTTCCGACTATTTACAAAATATTATACTATTTTCATAATATGCGACTTTTTTCGACTATTTACTAGATATTCGACTTTTTTCTACTATTTTTAAAATTTATAACTTTTTTTCGACTATTTAAAAAATATTCAACGTTTTCCGACTATTTTCAAATTATACGACTTTTTTCGATTCATTTTTAAAAAATGCGACTGTTTTTGAACTATTTTCAAAATTTGCGACTATTTTCAAAATATTCGACTTTTTTTCAACTATTTACAAAATAGTCGACTTTTTCCTACTACTTTCAAATTATACGACTTTTTTTCGATTCATTTTTAAATAATGGGACTTTTTTAAAACTATTTTCCAAATTTCCGACTATTTTAAAAAAATATGCGACTTTTTTCTATTTTTTTCTAAATATTCGACTTTTCTCGACTATTTTTAAAATATTTGACTTGTTTCGACTATTTTCAAAATTTTCGACTATTTTCGAAATATTCGTCTTTTTCGACTATTTTCAAAATTTTGGACTTTTTTCGACTATTTTTTTAAATATTTGACTTCTTTGGGTTATCCCCTTTTTTTACTATTTTCAATAAATGCGTCTTTTTGACTATTTTAAAAATTTTCGACTATTTTTTTTTAAATGCGACTTTTTTCGACTATTTTCTAAATATTTGTCTTCTTTCGACTATTATCGTCCATTTTTAAAATATGCGACTTTTTTTCGACTATTTTCAAAAATCTATTTTGACAACACTGCTAAGGGGTTAAAAAGATTTTGAAATATTGAAATTTTTTTAAAATTTAATTGCAAATATTTGATTTTTTTTTTCAAATATTCATTCTAATTTTTTGTTTAAATTCAATTATTTTCAATATTTTCAATTACATATTTTCGAAAATTCAAATAAAAAATAATATTCTAATTTTTATAATAATTTTTAACATTTTTGAAAAAAATCATGTTCAAAAATTTTTTTTTAAATTCTTCAAAAAATCGATTAATTTCTTGTTTTAAATTAATAGAAATTTTTTTTAAGAAATTCAATTATTTTCGAAATTTTTTTTTTACATTGTTAAAAAGCTCGTTCTTATAATTTTTTTATCTCAAGTTTTTAAGATTCAATTATCTTCGAACTAAGTAAATCAAAATTTTTTAAAATTTACTTTTTTAAAATTTTTTTTTTAAATTTTGAAAAAAATTATGTTCATATTTATAATTATAATTCTTCTAAAATTGGATTATTTTTTAATTTTAACCAATTGGATTATTTTTAATCCGTTTTTCTTTTTACTGAATTCGCTTGAAAATCGTTAATTGGGGGTTTTTAGAATCTCTAAATACGAATCTGAGGTCAGTTTTTTAAAATTCAAAATGGTGGATCCAATATGGCGGACATGAAAATTAAAAATTGACTGAATTCGCTTGAAACTCGATACTCGGGGGTTTTTGGGGTCGCTGGGTACGAATCTAGGGTCAATTTTTCAAAATTCAAAATGGCGGATCCAATATGGCGGACATGAAAATTAAAAATTGACTGAATTCGATTGAAACTCGTTACCCGGGGGTTTTTGGGGTCGCTGAGTACGAATTTGCGGTTATTTTAAAAAAATTAAAAATGGAGGATCCAATATGGCGGACATGATGATTAAAAATCGTCTGAATTTCCTTGAATTTTCAAGGTAATTCAGACGATTTTTACTCGGGGGTTTTTGAGGTCGCTGAGTACGAATTTGCGGTTATTTTAAAAAATTCAAAATGGAGGATCCAATATGGCGGACATGATAATTAAAAATCGTCTGAATTTCCTTGAATTTTCAAGGTAATTGAGACGATTTTTACTCGGGGGTTTTTGAGGTCGCTGAGTACGAATCTAGGGTCAATTTTTAAAAATTTAAAATAGAGGATCCAATATGGCGGACATGAAAATTAAAAATCGTCTGAATTCCCTTGAATTTTCAAGGTAATTCAGACGATTTTTACTCGGGGGTTTTTGGGGTCGCTGAGTACGAATCTAGGGTCAATTTTTAAAAATTCAAAATGGCGGATATAAAACATGACTTGGTCTTTCTCACGGTCCGTGCTTGTCCGTGCATTTGATATAGTCCAGAATTAAATTTTTATATTACATAAAAGTTGACACTTTAGTTTTCACTTTCTTTTACAATTTTAATTTTAGTATAAACAAAAATGATTAAATTTCTAATGTTTTATGTCTTTATTATATTTCAGAACTCACACAGGTTACAAACCATTAAATTGTAAATATTGTCTACGAGCATTCGGTGATCCCAGCAATTTGAACAAACACGTGAGACTGCACGCCGATACGGAAAGAAATTCTCCCTACAGATGTGATATTTGTGGAAAAAATCTCGTCAGACGAAGGGATCTTGACCGACACATACGTTCAAGGCATCAGGAGAATTCCGGTAACAGTTCAGACGCCTCGGAGGATTTAGATATTAGTGGATGAATTCTTTTAATGAATTTTTTAATTTTAAAAATTTTAAAAACAGAATATTTTAAAAATTTACGACTTTTTGGAAAAATTTACGTAAATTAGAAGTGATAGAAATTATCAAATAATTCTTAGAAAATAATTTTTCCTTTTTTTTAAACACGAATATATATTTAAGAAAATTTTATTTGTTACCTCAAAAACAAAACGACTGAATCACTGTAAAAGTGTAAAAACAAATTTAAAAAAAAATTTTCTAATTACTTTTTTTTTTTTAATTTTTATTTTAAAGTACTTCTTTTTATGCAAAAAAAACAATGTCAGGGACAATGTTTGTTTTATTTATTTCTTATTTGTTATTGTTTAAAGATAATTGAGAGAATTAGTGCGTATTTTTAAATATTGTAAATATTGTGAAAATATATTTTAAGTTTTTTTTGAATTTCTTCATCAAAGGATAGACTAATAATGTTATCAATATAAATGAATTATTTTTATTATACGAAATTTAATATCTCAATATATCTAATATGTATATTATTGCAATTGAATATAAATATTATTTGTATATATATATAATATAGTAAATTATTATTTTTGACTAATTCGCATTTCTTCATTTATTATATACCTGAAACTATATATTTTTATTGTACTTATAAATACCATTATATGTAATTGAAAATTTTAATAAATTACACAAAGAATTTAGAAATCAACAGAAAACAAAAATTTTAATTTAAATTTAACCTCTGTACTAATTATTTCAATAGTTGCCTGATTTATTTACGAAACCAACGGTTTCGAACTAAGGGAATAAGCTTCATAAAATAAAAGCTTAAATACTGAATGCTGACACGTTTATTTTTTCAATTACAAAATGAACCTTGATATGAATTTTTGGAATTGACAACTCGAACTTGGTCCATCGTATTGGATTTCACACTGAAAGAGAAACCAATCAGTTAGAATAAAAATAGGACCCAAGGATAATATTTTAGATAAAAGACGATTTTACTTACAAGTGTATTTGGACTTCCTCAAGCGTTGGAAGAGCGTCGTCTGAGCCTTGGCGAAACGTTGGATGTGTGTTGTCTGAGCGTTGAGTAACGCTTCCCAAGCGTTAGTTGAACGTTGGATGTGTGTTGTCTGAGCGTTGAGTACGCTTCCCATGCGTTAGTTGAACGTTGGATGAGGGTTGTCTGAGCGTTGGCGAAACGTTGGATAAGGGTTGTCTGGGCGTTGGTTATTTTATAAACTGGGTAACGTAGAATTTAGAAGGGGTACCCAGAAGTCAAGAGTTAAATACGAGTAAAACTTATTCGCTTAACAACACTGATATAATTTCACAAGGCGATGAGTATAATTTCGGTGGCGGATCTTGGCTGAGAAAAAGGTGACAAATCTGCGGGTTTTATATATCCGCAATCACCCTAGTTTTTTAATTGTTACCAAGAGTTACAATACAATTATAGGGGTGACCAGCGAGGAAAATCAATTAAATTTTGTTCCTTATGATTCAAACGCAAGGTTGCCAGTTTCCGTGAACAAGACAAAATATATTCATTTAACGAAAGGTCAAAGTTTTGTTCCTTTCTGATAGACATTGTGAGATGAGAAGTGATTTCTCCTTGTCTATCCTCAGTCAAAATTAAGGATATAATTGACAAGCACCTTCGGCACGATTTTCCGTATAATTATAATATTACTATTTAATATTTCTCGCGATAAAAATACAATAAAATCCGGGGCGCCAGGTCTACACATAGACCAACGCGAAACCAACAAAACGACAAAATCTTATTTACGCAAAACGACAAAATCTCAAAATAAATTAAATCAATAATATTTGGAGAATCGTCTACCGGAAACCGACACCAAATTATACACGGCTACTCAAAATGTCGGAGAGGTGTGGTGTTCTTAGGAAATTATTCTCGTAAAGAAAAACTTCAAATTTAACATAAAGAAAATTAAGATTTATTATAATCTAAAATAAAATCCTTTACAAAATTTTCTCGTAGATTTAATACAAATTCAAAATGTAACAATTTTTATGACTCTACGTGAATAATTCACAACAAATAACGCAACAATTAACAAATTTTAATCCCTAGCGCAATTTCTCGCCAACGTCTTACGCAATTCTTACACAATTACACAAATAATCTCAAAATTTGACGAATAGACTAATTTTTACCAAGAGCAAATCAGATATGTGAATTTAACTAGAAATTAATTGAAATTTTCTCTACGCGACTTGAAATCAATAATGGAGATCATTATTTCAATTTACCACGTGACAACTCGACCGATTTGATCTTTAATAATCGTTACACAATAAATGTGATCTCAATAAAATTAACTAATTTTCGATCGAATTACCAAGGGTATTCTACGAGATATCGAATCGCGAAATATACAATTTTAGAGAAGAGAAAAGAGAGAGACCTTACCCTCGTCCGAAGAAACAGTCTCACGCTAGTCCAAACTTCCAAGATGGCTCAGTTAAACTCAAAAGGCTCTCAGTTATGATACAATAAATTTAGATTTGATTTTAATTAAACGACAAAACAATAAATAATTAAACAAAACTTTTGGTTCTCGAAGACGGCTTCACAAATGCTATTTAACTGGTCATTTTAATTAGTTATTTTACTATGTAATTGCTTTTTATTGCTCATAGCCAAAAATGATTTTTTTGGACACTTTGAAACTCTAGTTTTCCATTTTTGTAGAGTTTTTTTTAGTAGATTTTTTTTCCACCAATGAAAATTCGGCATCGAGGCTCACCTGGTAATACGAGGGTCTCGCGACGATCCGAAAGGAAATCCAAACTCAGACTCATCACTAAAATTTTGAATCTTGTCCTTGTAGGAATATTATAATAGACCGAACTCCAAAATGTTGTCTCGGTCACGCAAAATTGGCAAAAATCCAACAAACGGAAAGAAATTTCGGAAACTCCATTGCGACACCTCCGCTGATAGATAGGTTGGCCACACTGTAAGTCTCGCACCAGATTTGAAATTGAGAATCCATCACGCAACTCGGATAGTGTAGATTAACCAAGAAGTCCAGATCATCTCTCTAAGCCACTCGGTGTCCCTCGCAGCTCCATAGATGGTCCAAGTGATGAGTACATGAAATTAATACCCGACAATAATTAGAAACAGGAAACAGAACGCAAAATTAACACAAGAATTCGCGCCATGGAGCTGCATCGAAACTAGAAGTTTTTGTAAATTTAAATTTAATTCGCGAAGAATGACACAATTAGTGGTGTTGTAAAATACAACGCCACAACATATATAAATAAGTCCAAAATGTTTTACATTTAATTTTAAGAAAAGTCACGAGGACGTGACACTATTTTCAAAATATTTGAAATATTTTTAAAATATGCGACTTTTTTTCGTCTAGCTTTCAAAATATTTAACTTTTTTCTACTCCTTTAAGCTATTTTCAAAATATTTGACTTTTTCAACTTATTTTCATAAAATGCGACTTCTTTTCGACTATTTTGAAAATATTTGATTTTAACGTTTATTTTCGACTATTTTGAAAATATTTAATTTTAAGTTTATCAAAAATTTTATTGACAATAATTTTGTTTAAAATAATTGTCTATATTTAGTTTATTTAATTTTTAATTTATTATTATTTATTATTATTTATTTAATTTTATAACAGTATTTTGTTACAATTTTTGAAAGTCAACTTTTGAAGAATTTTAATTGCGCAAAATTTTTGAAAATAATTGAATTCATTCAAATTTTTTAAAATTCAATTATTTTCAATATTACCCATTATATAATTCGGGAAATTTAAATAGAAACATACAATAAATAATAATTAAAAATTTTTTTTTACAATTGCTTTTAACATTTTTGATAAACAATTAAATATTTAATTTTAACAATAATTTTATAATTTTTTATTCAAATTATTTTTTTATATTATTCAAAAATTCAATCATTTTTAAAAGATTCTAAAAAATTTCAATTGTTTGGAAATTTATTAATTGTATATAATTATTGAAAAATTATTATCTTTCAAAAATTATTTAAAAATATTTTTCAAAAATTCTTAAAATTTTATTTCAATTTTCTAAAAATTTTATTAAAATAGTATAGAAAATAATTAAATAAGGTAGTTTTTTAAATAATTTTAATTGAAAAATTTTTTAATTTAATTGAAGTAAACAAAGAATTTTTTTCATAGCTTTTTAAAATATTCGTTAATTATAATTAAATATTCGATTATTGAAGTTTATTAAAATTGAATTGAATATAATTTAATTCATGAGAAGAATTTTATTATTTTATAATAAATAATTGAATTCTTGCGATAAATTTTACTACTTTTAAAAATAATTGAATTATGTTTCGAAGGATTCATTAAAATTTTAGAAAATAATTGGATTTTTTCAAAAAACATTAGGTATGTAGAATTTTTTAAAAATTTAATTCTTTCATGAAATTTTATTAAAAATGTATTAAAAATAATTAAAATTCTGCAAAGAATTTTACTAAATATTTATAAACAATAATTTAATTGTTTCGAATAAATGATTAAAATTGTAGAAAATAATTGAATTCTTTTGGAAAATTTTATTGAAAATAATAGAATTTTTGCATATATATTACCATTTAAAATAATTGAATTGTTATTTCAAAGAATTATTCAAATTCTAGAAAATAATTGAATTCATAATTGTATTAAAATTTTGTTGAAAATAATTGAATTTTTGCAAAATATTTTACTGTCTATAAAAATAATTGAATTCTTCCGAAGAATGTTGTTATAATTATGTAAATAATTGAATTCTTGCGAAGAATAATAAAAAAATTAAAATCTGAGTTAGAGGACGAAAAGAATTTTTTAATTTGGTTCAAAATTGTGATCTAATAAGTCTAAAAATCAATTTTGAACCAATTTTTGTCATTTTTCCCGCCCTGAGTAAATTTCCCCAAATTTTTACAGTTACCTTTCTCAATTCTCAGTTGATAACTTATCGATTACAGTTTCCTGTAACTCTCTACATTACCGATCGAAAGCGTGTTAAATAGAAATTTCCTCTCAATCCCGTGGCGCCAGTGTCACTCATATATTTTGTCTGCTGCTCCATTTTTTTAGGGTGAAACCAAGATTGGGTGAAACACTTTTTTCAATCAAAAAGAAATAAAAAAAGTTAGGAAATAGTATTTAATTAAAAAGGTAAGTTTATCAGTATTTTACATCACTTGAATTAATATTTATTTAATTTTAACCAAACGATTAAATTTTCACCTTTATTTTTTGTTAAAAGAAAAGATAAAAAAAAAGATTTCTGACAAATAATCATAAAAAGTGAGGTTATACTCCAATCTGTGATGTAACAGTTTTGCTGTAAATTTCGTATTTTATTCAATTACATATTTCCTTCTATTGAAATTGAAAAAAATTCCAGATTATTAAACATGACAGCACTCGCCAGAACACTTCGTCCTTGTTTGCAATGTGTACGAACACAAATTCGAGCTTTCGCTGCCGAAGCCTCGGGCAATGAAATGAAATTCACATTTTCCGGAGCAAATCAGGTATAAATTTTCTAATCAATTATTGCTTATGGAAAAAGAAAATTTTGATCAAAGTTGCCATAAGAATTTAATTATTTTGTTTATATTATAATTTAAGAAAATTGTTATTGTAACTTCTTCAAAATTATTTTCATCATTTCAATTCAATTATTATTTTCTCGAATTTTTAAATAAAATTCTTCTTTGAATCAATTATTTTTAATAATTTTTGGAAAAGTTCTTCTTTGAGAATTTTTAAGTCCATTTGTTTACAATTCAATTTTACGTGAAATTTCAATTATTATTATTATTTTTTAAAAAAAAGTTAATATATGTTAGGATTTTATTATAAAAAAATGATTTATTTCCAATTAGTGTAATTAAATGACTAATTGTTAAGAGAATTTAAAAATGTAATTATTATCTTTAATACTTAATTAAAAAAAAATATACTTATTATCTGCAAAAGAAATAATAAAATATAAGTATAACCAAAAATATTTTTAAAAACATAAACAAAGGAAAAAATTGATAGAAATTATTTTTTTACAGGTATTTTACGATCAGGCAAATATTCGTCAGGTGGATGTTCCATCTTTTTCAGGGTCATTTGGTATTTTACCAAAACACGTACCAACATTGGCTGTTTTGAAACCAGGAGTTGTCACTGTTTTCGAACAAGGCGGTGATACGAAGAAAATTTTCGTTTCTTCTGGAACAGTCACAATTAATGAAGACTCCAGTGTTCAGGTATATAAAGTACATTTATGAAGAGAATGTTTTTACCAGACAAAACTGAATTTAACGTCATAAAAAATATTATAAAGTACCCTAAAAAGTAACAAAATATAATTTAATTAAAAACTATTTACGAAATAATTTAATTTTAAGTTACTAAATTTTTTTGAAGTATTAAAGTTTTATTTTTATTTAAAGTATTATTTTTTTAAAAAAGTCCGTAACTTTGCTTCAAGTCCGTAAAAGTCCGTTTTTTTGAAAAAAGGTCCGTAAAGTCCGTAATTTCATTCAAAAAGGATGAAAAGTTCGTAAATTGTTCGATATAATTTTGACAATTTTAGAGAAATTACAAATGATTGCAAAAATTCAAATATTTTTAAAAGTAATAAAATTCTTCGCAAAAATTCAATTATGTTGAAATTTTTTTTTTTAATTTCTCGTCAAAATTTCAATTATCTTTAGAAATATTAAAATTCTTCTCAGAAATTCAATTATTTTCAAAAAATCTAAAAAACATTGTCAACATTTCAATTATCTTTATAAATAAATATCAAACTTCTTAGACAAAATTCAATTATTTTCAAAAATTTTAATAGAATTCATTACAAAATTTCAATTATTTTCATAATTAACAATATTTATCACACGAATTCAATTATTTTCTAAAGTAATAAAATTCAATTATTTTCAAACATTTTAATTCGTCCAAAGAATATAATTATTTAAAAATTTGTTGATAAAATTTTTAATAGAAATTGAATTCCAAGAAAAATTTAATTATTCAATAAATTATTTATTTAAAAATAGATTTCAGTTAAAATCTTAGATTATAATAATTGAATTCTTTCGAAGAATTTCATTAAAATTTTAAAAATAATTGAATTTTATCGAGACATTTTTTTAAAAATTGTCTTAAAAATAATTGAATTTCTACCAAAAACAAGTTTTATCAAAACTTTTAAAAATGTTTGAATTTCTGTTAAAATTCTGATATTTTTGAAAATAATTGAATTCTTGCGAAGAATTTTATTAAGACTTTTTGAAAATAATTGAATCTCTGCCAAGATTTTTATTATTTTACGAAAATATTTAAATTCTTGAGAAAAATTTTATTAAAATTTCTGAAAGTAATTGAAGATCTGCTATAAGAATTTTGTTATTTTTAATTTATGCCAAGAATTTTATTAAAATTTTTAAAAATAATTGAATTCCTGTTAATTTTTTACAAGAATTTAATTATTTTTGAAAATTTTAATAGAATGCTTCGCAAGAATTCAATTATTTTCATAAATAATAAAATTCAATGCAGAATTGCAATTATTTTATTTATTTTTAATATAATTTTAATCGAATTTCTCGAAAAATGTAATTATTCTTAAAAATTTTATTAAAATTCGTTGATAGAATTCAATTATTTGAAAATTTGTTGATAACGATTTTTTATGGGAATTGAATTTTAAGAAACGTTCAATTATTCAATAAATTATTTATTTGCATTCTTACATTTAAATTTGTATTTAAATAATTGAATTCTAGTAGAATCTTCTAATAAAAATTGATTTTAATTTCATAAAAATAAATTTCAGTTAAAATTTTAGATAATAATTGAATATTAAATGCAAAAGAGCGTGAATTTTAAAAAATAATTGAATTTTGTAATTAATTTTTTTGAAAAAGTTTAATTGAGTTTTTTAAATATTATTTTTAGTTTCTATTTTCTAATACTTATTTAAGTAAAGAATTTACGAATAATTGAAATTTCGTAAAATTGAATATTGTAAAGAAATGAATTTCAAAATTGTCAATGAACTTTTTCCAAAATTTAAAAAAATAATCGAAGAATTTTAGTTTTAAATTCTTAAAAATAATAATTGAATTGATAATGATTTTAATTATTATAAAACATGTAGAAATCGATGACTTTGAGTCGAAGACTCGGAGTTATCGATTTCTTCATGTTTTATAGTTATGAAAAATTGAATTTCTAGTTTTAAGTAAAATGTTCTCTTATTTGATTCGGCCTGATTCTATTTTTGTCAGTTGGTCCGTTAATGGTCCGTAATTTTTAATTTTTGGTCCGTAAAGTCCGTATTTTTAAATACTTTCACTGCTTCGAGCCCTGAACAACGATTTTTTATTTTCAGGTACTCGCTGAGGAAGCGCATCCGGTTGAGAATATTGATAATTCGGCGGCTAGAGATATTTTAAGTAAAGCACAACAACAATTATCTTCAGCGTCATCTGAAAAGGACAAAGCAGAGGCGGCGATCGCCGTTGAAGTTGCCGAGGCTCTCGTCGCAGCTTCCTCGTAATTTCTATTATGTAATTCCAATTCATCTCTAATTCGAGTCACACCGTACAGTTTAGTTGTCTATAAAAAGACAAACATCCAATCTTGTTAATGTAATGTTACACGAAAAATAAAACCAATAGAAAATGTGAAATTCTTCTTTTCTTAATATTTCCAAGCATCTAATTTATCAAAAACATTAATACCTTTTTATTTTGCTTTCTTTGGAATTTAAAAAATATTTAACATTGGTGAAATCCACGTCAACTTATCACAGATATTTTTATTTTCTCTTAATGAGATTCGCTTAATACTCTGTTTATACATTCCCAGGGTTCGTACTCGATAATTATTTATCTTGTCGATAATTTTTAAGGATTTTTAAGGATAAATCCATTTTTGAGGAATTTATTTAAAATTGTATTTAAAATAATTGAAATGCTGCGATGAGTTTCATTACTTATGAAAATAATTGATTTCTTGCATGCAGTATAATACTTCTAAAAATAATTGAATTGCTGAGAAGAATTTTATTATTTATAAAAATAATTGAATTCTAGTGGAAAATTTTATAAATATCTTTTTAAATAATAATTGATTTTTTCGAAATTTTTTTTTAAATTGTATTTTAAATAATTGAATTTCTGTAATAATTTTATTATTTATGAAAATAATTTAATGTTTGCTAAGAATTTTATAAAAAATTTTTTTAAATATTTGAATACTTTGGGGAAATTGTTTATTAAAATAGTAGATATTGAAAAAAATCGAATCGTTTTAAAGAATTGAGGGGATGGATGCTATAAGGGGATATGCGTCATGTTAAGTGAATGTCATGTATCCCCTAGTCTTCAGCCCCTCAATTTTATTAAAATTTTTTGAATTGTTTCTGTAAATTTTATTTAAATTTTTGAGAATAATTTTCTTATTTCAACTATTAGCGAACTAATGATTATGAAGGGTAATGAAAAACTCACTACATTCTAAGAAAGCTTTTTTTATTATTCAATGGTTAACAGGCGTAGTTGGGAAACATTCTCTCAGTTAGAATAACATCGAAGTAAACCAATTTTATCTGACAGTAAATAAGCCAGTAACTGTTAAAAATTTCACACTCAATTATTCAAAAAAAAGAAAAGTAAAAACAGTGATTTTGCAAAAAAAACGGTTTTTTAATATTCAAAGTATTTAAATACAAAATTTCCGGAGTTGAAATTTTTCTTTAACAATCAATAATAATTTATATACTTTGAAATTTTGTACATACTAAAAATAAAATAGCAATAAGATTGATTTTGTTCGAAAGAAAAATGTTTTCTTAATTATTGTATATTCATTCACGATAATCGTTAACGGAACTTTGGTTTCATAAAACATATAATAGAAATGTAACAAAAAGGAAAAAAACAGTAAATAAATATATATTAGCCTTCTACTTCGAAACAAAGACGACTTTTACCTAAAAATCATTTTCATGATTCTTTTTTTTCTCTCTTGTAAATTATAACATACAATCAATTTGAAAAGCATATAACAAATCATACTATTTACAATTTTTTTTTCTTTATAAATCTCTGCGGAAACAGTTTGAGAAATTTTTTTTTAAAAGAAACATAACTTTACAAAAAAAAAAACTGATAATTAACTAATTATAAAAAGAATTAGTAAATTACATTTCGTTGGCGCAACCGTTTCTCTGGCAAATTGATTTCTTTTTTGTTTTCTATAAATCAAATTTAATATTGTTGCAAATTTGCTTAATTTAATTTGCATTTAATTTAATTATTTAAAATTAATGATCGATTTTATCAACTGAAGAAATAAAGGTTTATAAAATGATTTGGATAACACAATAATGTTACTGCAGAATCTTGACCTTTTACTGATTTCTAAATTCAATTATTCAAAAATTGAATAATTTTGTTAAATAAATATTTAATTAGTTCTTATTTGTTTTTCCAAGGGATATAAAATTTAAAAAATTTCAATTTAAAATATTCGGAAATTTAATACTTTTTAAAAATTACAACTATAAAGCTTCCAAAATATACAATTATTTTCTACAATTTTTAACTGAACTTCATCTCTAAATCAATTATTTTCAATAATTTTCGGAAATTTCTTCGAGAATTCAATTATTTAAATAGAAAAATTCAATTTTTTTTTTAATAAATTGTAACTGTAATAATTGTTCATTTTTTCAAAGTTATTAAGGTATATTTTCAAAAATTTATAAAGAAATTCTTAGAATTAATATTTTTAAACAATTTTTAAAAGATACTTTTTAGATTTTCAATTTAATACAATTGAAAAATTGCTAAATAATTGAAATTTCATAAAGTTTTTTAAAAATGAAGATAAAATCATGAAAAAAAGAATTGAATTGAATCTTAAAAATTTATGACAAAACAATTCTAAGAATTAGTTTTTCTAAAAATAGTGTAATGTAATTTTTCAAAAATTAATGGAATTTCTTAAAAGAATTTCTGTATAATGTGAAAAAACTAATTAATTTTTCGAAGAATTATAATAAAAAATTTTGAACATAATTGTTTTCTTCAAAATATTAAAAATGATTTTTAAAAAAATTTTAATGTTATTATTTTTTTCATCTATATATTTGAATTATCAAAAATATATATATATATATGACAATTTTCAAATTCGGAGCACAAAGCACTTTAAGCAACTCGTGTTTTTATTGACAGCTTTTAAAATGAGCATTTTTACAAAGAATGATCTTGATATTGATCCCGATTTGAATCTTCCAATATTAACCCGTGAGCATATCATTAAATTAGCAAAAGAGCCTGAAAGTGACTATCTGAAGAGAAAGTCAGAGCTTGAACAGTATGCATACCTAGGTATGCATACCCTGAAATTAAGGCAACATATAATCTCCTTAATTATTCTGGTCTTACAATGTATAAAATGGTTGCCGAGTTTATGATGGCGCAAAAGAGGACCATGGCTCACAGAGATTTAACAATCATCCGAGAGATTGCCAACTACTCCAGACACGTTACCGAATTAAAAGCTAGATACGGAATCCACTGGTCATATTTGGGTTTTATGCAGCCTAACGTTCCTCGAGACATTAAAATACAATGTCCAAATCTTTGCTTCGTTTCTCATCTCTATCAGAAACTATACATTGAAAAGACTAGTATAGATAATTTAGTCATTGGAAACATCCCTACTACTGTAATAGGATTAACAGATCTGGTAAAACAAGTTGATAACAGTGACATTTATGAAATGGTAACAAAACCTGGATCTTCCGACTTGAGTGATCCGATTATTCGCGAAGGGTTGAGATTGCTTAAGATCAATGACGACAAATTTAGTGTAGCTCTACTAGAGAAAAAGACCACAACAACAACAAAGAGGAAGAAAATGTACTTCATTGAAGCTCCTGATGATGATCAAGGAGGTCAAGAATAAAAAGCCGAGCCCATGTCACCATTAATCATTGAAATTTCATTACTTCTCTTCTTCTCATTTTTTACATTCCTTGCTTTAAGATTTCCAAAATTCTCAGTTAATATTAGCATTGAGAAGTAGATAATGAAAAATAGTTTAATAATCATTATCACAATCTTTTTCGGAATAAGGGTGTGGGAGACTTATAAAATTGTCAATTTTTCACAGCATTATTTGTATATTTTTCTTCCTTGGCCTTTTAATCTTTATTATCACAAGTCAGAGCCTCATTTTTCAGATTACTTTGGGCTATTAACTCATCTTTACACCTTCATTTTTCTTAATTCATTCCTCTTCTATATTAATCATCGGTTTCCTCGATTTAGGAGATTCAGATTGAGAAATGATTTAATCCTTTAATATTATCTTATTGATATTCTTAAGGAATAATTTAAGAAAAAAAAAAAAAAAAAAATTTCAAATTCATTTCTTTACAATATTCAATTTTACGATATTTCAATTATTCGTAAATTCTTTAATTAAATAAATATTAGAAAATAGAAACTAAAAATAATATTAAAAAACTCCATTAAACTTTTTCAAAAAAATTAATTACAAAATTCAATTATTTTTTAAAATTCACGCTCTATTGCATTCAATATTCAATTATTATCTAAAATTTTAACTGAAATTCATTTATATGAAATGAAAATCAATCTTTATTAAAAAATTCTTCTAGAATTCAATTATTTAAATACAAATTTAAATGTAAAAATGCAAATAAATAATTTATTGAATAATTGAACGTTTCTTAAAATTCAATTCTCATAAAAAATCGTTATCAACAAATTTTCAAATAATTGAATTCTATCAACGAATTTTATTATTTATGAAAATAATTGAATTCTTGCGACGAATTTAAATTAAAATTTTCAAAAATAATTAAATTCTTGTAAAAAATTAACAGGAATTCAATTATTTTTAAAAATTTTAATAAAATTCTTGGCATAAATTAAAAATAACAAAATTCTTAGCAAATATTCAATTACTTTCAGAAATTTTAATAAAATTTTTCTCAAGAATTTAAATATTTTCGTAAAATAAGAAAAATCTTTGCAGAGATTCAATTATTTTCAAACATATCAGAATTTCAGCAGAAATTCAAACATTTTAAAAAGTTTTGATAATACTTTTTTTTTGATAGAAATTCAATTATTTTTAAGACAATTTTAAAAAAATGTCTCGATAAAATTCAATTATTTTTAAAATTGTAATGAAATTCTTCGAAAGAATTCAATCATTATAATCTAAGATTTTAACTGAAATCTATTTTTAAATCAATGTTTATGAGAAAATTTTACAAGAATTCAATTATTTAAATTTGAAAATAAATAATTTACTCAATAATTGAATGTTTCTTGGAATTCAATTCCTATTAAAAATTTTATCAACAAATTTTTAAATAATTAAATTCTTTGGACGAATTTTACTAAAATTTTTAAGAATTTTTTCGATGAATTCGATTAAAATTCCATTAAGGGTTCATACCACTTTGTCATCTTCAAAAAAGCAAAATTTTTTTTATTACGGATTTCGAAAGTAAAATATGTCAAAAATGTGGTGTAAAATTTTTAGAAAGATCCCAGCACTCAAAATATATTTTTTTCAATGCTATTTGAGCGCGTACACGGCTATGTAAGTATACAACACAAACTTTAAACCCGTTTTTCT